TGGTAGTGGATTAGTGACTTCTGGTCTAGAATATGACTCTCCATCCCTTCTTCTCAACCCTGGGCCATGGACAAGGCTCAGAAATCTTGCAATGGACATTTCTCCTGGGTCCTTATTTCTACTTCCATTACAGTTCTGGTATCAGATGCCGTCCTCTTATGTTGCACCTGAAATTTGTTTCTCTTGCACATTAATTTGGAGTGCTGCTTCTTTGGATTTTGTGCTTAGCTTTGCATTTTTATCTCTCCTGTGTGAAAGTGTACCAGATTGTCCTCCACCCACTCCCTAACCCAGCCTAAACTTCCTACGACTTCTATCCAGGGTGGACTCAGGTTCCCTTTAGGTATTTTAGGTATTTCTGTGCCTTGGCCCAGGGCCTTTCTCTTAGTGGGAGACTGGAGGCAGGAGAACCCATTGGGTGGAAATTCCTATAGTCCAAGCTGGAGATGATGAGGGTCAGGACTAGGGCTGGGCTGCAGGAGGGATCACTGAGTGGAAGAGACAACATGAAGCTAGAACTGATAGGGGAATAATTTGCCTGTGACTTTTAATTATGGATCTGGGTTATCTTTCCAAATTTCTGGTCTCTTGACTCACAGTTTGCTTTCATTTGTTTATAATGGTCAGAGGTCTTAGGAACTTTGCATTCTGAATAATTAAGAGTGATAATCTGGGGTAGGTTTTAGAAGGGTGCCAAGATATTATTTGGAAAACTAAAGTCTTCTTTTATTTAATTTAAAAAGAGAGAAAGATTTCTTACTCAAAATCTGGTCCTATTAATTGAACATTTCAGGAAGAAAGGGGACTGGAGAACAGTCTGAGGGCATCCAAAATGGATCGGGATTGGGGTATGATTCTGAATAGGGAATACCTATTACCTAAGGCTAGACTCTGAGCTCCCATTGCTACGGAGGTGAGCCCTCCTCTTCGGAGCTTCTTTAGACAAGGACACGGCCTCTGAACTTTGCTGCATGTTGGAATTATATGTGTGTCTTTACAAACACTGAAGCCTGGCTGCCACTCAGACATTTGGGCTTCAACGATAGGCAGTACAACCTGGGCACTGGGATTTTTAAAACTTCCCAGATGTTTTTTTATTGTATCATAATTTTTAATTGAGATATGATTGACATACAAAAAGTCATACATATTTAATGTATACATCTTGATGAGTTTGAGATATACACCCTTGAAACTGTTTTCATAAACAGTGCCATCAATTTAATCATTACCTCCGAAAGTTCCTCAGACCCTCTCACTTTGTATGTGTGTGTATGCGTGTGTGAGAGAGAGAGATAAGAACATTTAGCTAAAGATCTGCCCTATCATTTTCAAATGTTAAGTTTTCAGTAGACAATATATTACTTTTTTTCCTTTAATTTGCTATAGGGTGTGTACATTCACTGGAGAGACAGAGAGAGAGAGTGAGAAAGTGAGAAGGTACTCTTCCACACCCAAAGGGGATGGGCACACCACAATTCCTTCTCTTGTTTTCTCTTCTAAGGAGTTTTAGGCATGCACAGATATGTGCCCAGCGTATTTTTGAAGTTGCTAGTCTAAGACGTGGGATCTAGCTGCCTAAACCATACCCCTGGCTGGCCCAAATATTGTTAATGATAGCTGTTATTCTGTACAGTAGATTTCTAGGACTTATTTATCTTACATAACTAAAACTATGCACCTTTTGACCAATATCTCCCTCATTTCCCTACCCTTGTCCCCTGACAATCAATCACCAATCTACCCTCTGCTCCTGTAAGTTCGACTATTTTAAAGTCCTAATATAAACAGGATCACTTAGTATTTGTTCTTTTGTGTCTGGGCTATTTTACTTAGTATTGCTACAATTCAATAGCAAAAAATCCAAATGGTACAATTTAAAACATGGGAAAAAGACCTGAATAGTCATTTTTTCAAAGATGCCATACAAATGGCCAATACATATATGAAAATGTGCTCAGCAACACAATCATCTGGAAAATGCAAATGAAAACTAAAATGAGGGTCAGCTCATAGCATGGTAGTTAAAGTGACTGGATCTTACATGGCTGCCACATAGTTTGAGTACCAGCCCTGGTGGCTTAAAAAATGTGTGGGAGCATGTGCATGCATGGCCAGAATCCTGAAAAGAGGGAGAGATGGAAGAGAAGGGATTGCAGCATGTCCATGCCCCAATGGGAAGTGCTTTCTCAGTGTACTTCTTTCTCTCTGTCTGTCTCTGGTGAGTGCACACAGTCTTTGGCAAAAATTAAAACAAAAGAAAGCAAAACCAACTGTCATGGTATAGACACTATAGAAAACATTATGTAGGGTCCTCAAAAAATAAAAATAGAGCTGCTATATGATCTAGTAATCTCACTTCTGGGTACATATCCAAAAGAATCAAAATCAGGATTGCAAAGAGATATCTGTATGCCCATGTACATTGTAGCATTATTTATGATAGCAAAGAACAGGGAAAAAACCTGAATATCCATTGACATATGAGTGGATAAAGAAAATGTGATAGAAATCCTGCCATTTACTACGACATGGATGAACTTGGAGGATATTCTGCTAAGGAGAGTCAGATATGCAGCACAGATGTGGAACTTACCTAATACAAGGTAGTAGGAATGAACATTTGATTTATAATGGTTCTTGCACTTGAGTGTCTGTCAAAATCACCTGGGGGTCTTGTTAAGATACTAATGGCTGGGCCTCAGAGTGTCAGTGGGTCTGTGGAGCAGTCTAAGAATTTGTATTTCTAATCAATTCCTAGATGATGCTGATGGCTGAGACCACACTTTGAGAACCAGTGCCTTAGGAGAGTTGGGTCTGGTTTTACCCTTTAGGAGCTCAGCAACCCTGAACCAGTTACCTGGTCATTAAGAAGCTCAGTTTCAGGACCAGCAGTTGGCCTAATGGCTATGTCACTGGATTCTCATGTAGTCAACCATGGTTCGAATCCTGGACCTGATGGCTTAAGCTCATGCTGGGCACGTGTGCCTGCATGCCTAAGATCCCAAGAGGAGAATGGAGGAGATGGGATTGTGGTGTGGCCATTCCCCCAGGGGGGTGATTTCTCACTTTCTGTCTGTCTGTCTGTCTCTTTCTGGCGAGCGCATGTGCCCTATAGAAAAAAACCTCTCCAATCAATCAATCAATCAATCAATAAGTTCAGTTTCTACATTTATAACCTGGGGACAGCAGTGATGATTACTTTATGAATCATTGTGTGGATGAAATGAGATAATATTTGCAAACTACTTAGCACAGGGTCTGGGCCACAGGACATGTGTAGCCCATGGTAGATTTTCTTAATATGTTTTTTCAGCTGGAGTCTCGGCAGATCTTTCCTTATATAAAACTGTGCTATTTGGTTAATGATAAAGTGAGTTTCTGAAAAGAAAGGGTATTCTGAGATACTCTCATGCGTTGCAAATACTCTAGGGTCCAGCAGGAACTGCCCATCCTGAGAGTGCTGGCATATGTTAATTGTACATCATTGTCAAACTCTTCTGTCTGATGATAGTGGTATGGGCTGGGACCGAGGACTGCACTCCTGCCCAGAGTCCATGTTATTCTCACACTGCGCTACATTCCAGACACATTTAATGCCATGAGTTGTGGTTATCCTAATGTCACTATGGAAACCAAACTGCTACCGAGGGAGATAGGAACAAGGCCCTAAATGCTCTTGGAAACCATAAAATGTGATCCCAAGAGAGGGCTGTGGGTTTCCACAGGATGTTTTCTCTTTTTCTCATTCAATTTGCACAGAACTCTTGTGTACACATTTACCTGGCTTCCCTATTCTACTGAAGAGGGAATGGAAGCTCAGCATGTGTTTCCCCTCATGTTATAGCAATCTTCTTTGTCTTCATCTTCTTTTTAGAGTGGTGTGAATTAGAATAGATGCCTAATAGGTAGGCTCGCAAATGCTCTATAGGTACCATTTACGGAATGGTCAGCGTTGTATTAGGTGCTTTCAGTAGCTGTATACCATTTAAACCTCATAAATCTTAAAGGCAGTTATTAGTATTCCCAACATACAGATCAAAGAGGTAAAGCAACTTGCTGAGCAGGGAGTGGCGGAGTGAAGTTGATTTATCATCCATATCCTTCAACCATTACCATATCACTGCCTGCCACTGCAGGATAAGGGGGATGCCGATTCAGAGAGAAAGCAGCAAGCCCCCTGAAAAAAGATTGCATTCCACAGACAGTGTGGAAGGAGGGTGGGAGAGGGGTTGTAGGAAAGGAAATTAGGGAGACAAATACAGAAGTAAGACACAGGAATGGCTTATTATCTGTTGATGATAATGTGCACAGTATTTTCAACTCAACTGGTCTGAGGTGTATTTTTCATGTGGGGTAAATTCTCTCAACAAGCTAAATGATGTATAGTGATTGAATGTATAAGAGAAATTAAAAAAAATGCAAAGCTAAAAAAATAAAAAAAGAAAGATTGTCACCTGCCCAGTCTAACTACCTTTTATGAATTTTTGATTTTCCAGAAAAATACAATCAGTCAGAAAAAGGCCTAGGAACTCCATAGCTAAGGCTAATTAGTAAAAAAAAAAAAAAAAAAAAAAAAAAAAAAAAAAAAAAGAAAAGATAAGAAAAAAAAAGAATAAATCCTAAGTGTAGTGTGTCAACTAGGACATAACTGGAGTTGAATTTTTCATCATCACTAAGCTGAAGCTTTCGCTGTGGCTGCGATTGCTTCCGTTTGTACAGCCTCTCCATGCCTGTGCTTTCTCTGTTTCTGGAAATAGTGACAGAAAGGAGAGATGAAAGTTATTTTTAAATTTGGCCACTGAATGGACATCCAAGTCTTCTCTTCCAGCAGCTAAGCCTATATGTTTTCTCAACAGGGTATTAATTACTTGGCTCTGGGAATGGCCAGACGAGCTGTTCTGGCTGCCTGGCCAGCTATATGCGATTGCTCATGGACCCAGCAGGACTCAGAGGCTTCAGCAGAGAACATCCTCCTTCTCAATAAACTCAGACATGGGTACTGGGTAACTTGTTAAACACATTTATTGATTTCTTGACAGTAACCAAACACAGTGAGTGACCATTATAAACAAGAAAAGAAAGGCATTCGTTTGTACTTTGTGAGATCTGGCTGCACCTGGAGAGAAAAGACACCCCTTTCCCAGGAATTTACAAGGCAAAGTGCATTCCTTCACGGGAGCATCACAGGGGGGATGGCAGTTTTGAAACGCAAGAAATCTGTTGCCTGCTATCTCAAGCTGAAGCTCACCTCATGTGAATGATCGAGCCATGGAGTGGATTTAAAGGTATACTTGCTTAGCAAATGCATTCCTGATTGCCACAAATTCAGTAAAAACTGGATGCAAATGAACAAAACATGTAAATGAAGGAACAAGTGAAATCAAAGAATGCAACTGCATGGAGCCAGGGCTTAGCCTGTAAGGAAGGAGAACAGATCAAAGCCAGAAAAATGAAATTAACTCGTTAAACACATTTATTGAGCTGTTAACAATAACCAAACACAATGTATGACCTTTGAAAAACAAGAAACAGCAAATGGATCAATTCTGATCTTGGCAAATCCTACTACAGATATGTGACAAAGAGGGAAATAATTCCATTTCTTTATAGTCTGAGGTGATATATATATACAATGTGTAGCTCTTCAATGTCTGTCTTTTTTTTTTCTTTTTAAATTGTTGAGTAAACAGAAGAATCATAATCTAGAAATAAGTGTCCTTGGTCAACCTTGTTCTGGCTCACCTGCCACCAGCACCCTCAAAGGATCCTAGGACACTATCCAAGATTAGTTGATGCAAAGTCTGTTTGATGCTGTCAGAGCTGTGTTTCTCCTCTCTCTCTTTTGGAAGAATTTTGTATATACAAAGGCTGAAAAGTCTCATCAGGTAGGTTTATTAGTTCAGGAAAATGGTATCAAAATTGTAATTAGGTTAACTGGTTATTTTTCTTCTAAGACCTCTTATGAATGAGCCTTTTGTTTCTGAATCTTGATTTCCCATCACCGAGGCTGTATGAGTGTGCATGTGTGTAGGTATGTTTGCATGTGTGTTTGTGTATGTATCTGAAAGTGCTTGTGTTTGAGTGTATGTAAGAGATGTATTCCTCTGTCATCATTTTTCAGACACTTTATATGAAGAAAGAGCCAATCCAAAGAGTGAATGAGGCTTGGGTGAAGGAGGGAGATAGAAGAAAGAAGGAGGACATTCTAGGTTACGTCAATTCACAGTTGTAGCATTTCACTGAGGTGGAATTCTTCTTGGCTTAGTTCCCTACTTGAGGAGCCATTCATTTACTGGAAAGAGAGAGAGAAAGAAAAACCCACAGACACACACACACAAAACATAAAACAAGGCATACTGTTTTAATTTGTACATAGTTTTAGGGGCTTCCTCTAAAAGAGAAGAGACTACTTTGTAAATGCCTGTTTGTCTATGTGTATCCCAACTATTCCTTTCCAATTTTCCATGACTTTCTAGGCCTGAGCTGTCTGATATGGTAGCTGTTAGCCACATGTGGCTACTGAAAGAAAAAATTTGTTAAAATTAAAAATTTAATTTATTGTACTAGCTGCACTTCAGAAGTTCGAAAGTGATGCACCATTCGTAGTTGGTATATTCAACAATATAGATAGAGAATGTTTCCATTATTGTAGAAGGTTCTAGTGGATGATACTGCTCTAGACCAAGAATGGCCAAACAACAGCCCACAACCCAAATTCAGTACACTAGTTTTTGTAAATAAAGTTTCACTAGAGCATATTCATACTCATTCATTTACATATCGCCTGGGGCTGATTTTGAACTACAGTGTCAGAGTGCAACAGAAACTATGACTCACAAAGCCTAAAATAATTGCTTTCTGTCCTTTGGTAGAACAAGTGTGCCAACTCCTGTTCTAGACTGTAAGCTTTGTGTGAACAGGGCCATATCTGTCTTCAACACCATTATGTTGCCATCACTTAGTTAAATGCCTGGCATGTAGAAGGTGTAAAATACATAGGTGTTACATAAACAGGAAGGGCAATAAAGGGGTTGGATATTTATCTTTCTGATAGTTCTGGATGGAAAGGAGCAGAAAATCTATGGTTGGGACACTCTGCAAGTGTATCTGAGAAAGGAAGGGAACATGAGGCAAGTAGGAGAGATGAAGTGGGGGGACCAAGGGCATCAGTGGTGGCTGGACCTAAAAACTGATAATAACCAAGCTCTCCTATCTGGGGAAGCCCTGTTGCTACAAAAGGCTTCCCCATCTGGACCATTGTTCACCCATCACAACGAGCTGTGAAGTAAATGTGATAGGGACTGCTGTTATGAAGAACTGGGTCTAGAGGGATACATCACTTGGTTGGATCTGCACAGCTTCTTAGAACCAGGTCTGCATGTTGAACTCCCAGTTCAGGGCACCTCTAAGACACATCTCCTCTCTCCATCTCCCTTACCACATTGATGGTTTACCATAATGATCAACAGATACTAAGTCAGTACACTGAAAGGGAGAAGGCTGGATGTGGACTGGAAAGTTATAGGAGGCAGAAGACATCTTACATATCTCCCTTAGTAAGAATTATAACCACTTCTAGGGACACAGCACAGGATAAGGACATATTCATGGACATGACTTTATTGTATACTAATGGTCTGACTTCCAGAGTATTTATTCACTTCCTAAGGGGAATGGAGCTCTATCTTTCATATAACTAAATGTTGTAATACTTTTTATTGTCCTATTCCAAGAGATAACTTTGGGAAAATCGGTCTTTCTGGACTCTTCTGTAAAATAGAAATGAAAAAAAGGCCATCTTGCCTGAACCAGAGGGAATTTAGATGTTTCATATGTGACGTAGAACGTAGGTACATGTCACATTTACCAAACCTTTAGACCCTTATTACGTTGAACTATGATATGTGGGCTTTAGCAACAGAAAAGCACCATGAAAATTGAGGGGGGTGGTCTTATTGCCATTAGAATAACGATTCCTATCCAAGGAGATAATTCCAGGCCTTTAAGAACATGTCAAAGCAGAAATACTAAGATTCTGCTCTCTGAGCCATCACACTCACCTCTATACTGAAGCTTCTGGGCTCGGTTGTTTGGACAGTCCTTCCCCTGTAAACTGAAGTTGATGTTGGTGCGGATGCAGCGGTTGTTGAGTGGCTGGACAGGCCTGAAGTTGTCACTCATGCTCAGAAAGATCTGAGATGGCTGATTCTGGCTGAGCAGGCGTAAGGAATGCATCTGAAGAGAGAGAAGAAGCTGTGAGATGCAAACATCACTTAAACACACTAGGGAAGAAGTGAGAGGTATGTATTTATCTATGTATCTATATATACATCTATATATCTATATTGTGGTTATGCTGGGTGGTGCTGGCTGTCTAGAAAATGGAACATGAGCCCGTCAGAGCTCTGTTTTCCATGAGTTCAGTTGTG